AGGGCAGCAGCGGGCAGCAAAGCATTCAAGAGTGGCCTCAGTGCTAGCATGGGCACAGAATGCACAAGTGCAATGCAGGCCTACACACTGCGAAGCAGGATGTGCACACAGGTTGCACACAACAGGTGCAGACGCACACAGCAGGTGCAGTGCAGGACGCAGTGTAGGCTCGATGCAGGATGCACGCAGAGGGTGCGGTGCAGAACGAGCACAGCCGAGGACGGCCCCGCGCACGCCGGCGGCCCCTTTAAGGCTGCGGGGCGGGGCGGCGCGGCGGGGCCGGGCGCGGGGTTGCGGCTCCCGGTGCTGGCGGCGGCGGCGGGGGGGCTCCGGCCGTGCCCGGCCCATGGCCCGGCCCCCGGCGCCTCCCGGGGCCCCGCGCTGCTTCGGGGCGCTGAGCACGGGGCAGCTGCGGGCGCTGCTGCAGGACGAGCCCCGGCTGCAGCGCGCTGTCCGCCTCAGCAGGAAGGTAGGGCCGCGCCGGCATGCGGTGCGATGCGGTGCGGCGCGGTGCGGTGAGGTGCGGTGCGGTGCGATGCGGTGCGGTGCGATGCGATGCAGTGCGATGCGGTGCGGTGCGGTGCGGTGCGATGCGGCGCGATGCGCGCTCCGCGCCGCTCACCGCCCGCCGCAGTTCCAGGCGCTGCAGCGGGAGCGGGAGGAGCGGCTGGCGGCCAACAGCGCGCTGGCCCGGGACAACCTGGCGCTGCGGCCGCGGCTGGAGGACGGGAAGGCGGCCCTGGCCATCAAATACCAGGAGTTGCGCGAGGTGCGCGAGGCGTGCCGGGCCAAGTTGCGGCGCCTGGGTGAGTGCGGAGCGATGGGTGCGGGGCTTCCCGGCGGGGGGAGCGCCCGTCGTGCCGGAAGGGGGGACCCCGGGAGGGGAGGTTCCCGGCAGCGCCGCGCTGTCCCCGCACAGAGGCGTACCTGGAGGAGTGCGGTCCGCAGCGCGCCCTGGATCGGCTCCGAGCCGCGCTGGACTCGTCCGAAGCGGAGGCGGAGGTGAGCGGGTGTGAAGCGGAGGCGGGTGAGAGCCCCGCGTTGTGCCCTGCCGTATGCGGGCACCGAGGGACGGCGCGGGGCTCGGGGATTTGGGGGGGACCTCGCCTGTACAGCGCTCCGCCCGATGCACCCGCACCGCCCGTCCCGCAGGCGCAGATGCAGAGGTTCCTGGCGCACGAGGTGCCCCTCGATGCCTTCCTGGAGTCCTTCTGCCGGAGCCGCGCGCGCTCCCACGTCTCTCGGACGCAGCTGGAGAAGCTACAGGAGCTGCTGCAGATGGGCCGGGACCCTGCGGGGGAGACCCCGGGGCTCAACCCGGCGCCGGATCGCGGCGCGGCCTCCCCTAAAGCCCTGGAGCTGCGCTGCGGCTTCGTGCCCGCCGTCCTTGTCCCCGCGGCGGCCGTTGTACCCTTCGCCGTGCCGCCCAAGCACCGTCTCCCGGCCTTGGGACAGCCGCCGGTCGCCCCGCACCCTGCTCCGCACGCGACCCCACTCAGCCCCCGGCCCTTCCGCCGCCGGGAGCCGGAGCCGCTGCAGCCGTAGAGGTGCGGGACCGGGGAACGGCGGGCGCGGAACTCCGGGAGCTGCTGCGTGCGGGGAAGAAGCGGCTGCATCCGCTGCGGGAGGGGGGCAGAGAGTGCGTCGGTGGGCCCGGGAGGTTGGAGGCAGTGGGGAAGGAGGTCCGGCAGCACGGCCCGCTATGCGCTCCCCAAATAAAGGCTTTGTTCCACACCGCGTGGGTCCGGCTGTGAGCGGGGGGATGGGGCAGGGAGAGGCGGTTCCCTGGCTTGGAGAGACCCCTGGGCTGGGCTGCACCCGGGGGTGGCAATGGCTGCTCCAGGGTGGACACAGAGCCCGTGAGCACGAGGAGTGCGGTTCCCCCCCGGCCAGGCACCAAGTGTAGCCCCCCAGCTCAGCCCCACACATGGCAACGGTTTGGGGCCGTGTGGGGGCCTTGTGCCAAGCAGCTCCCCTTTGCTCCCAACACCCATGGGAGGTAAGCACAGCCTGGGTGCACCCTGCAGTGCTCTCAGTGCCCAGGAAAAGGCCACAGAGCGCTGAGCAGAGCTCTGCTGGACGTACCCCGTGTTGTCCCACACTGCTCTGCTGTGGTCCTCAGTCTCAGGGGATGGACGGGGAGATGCAGGCGGGAGGTAGTGGGGAAGCTCTGCATCTTTCAGCCGCTGCCCTGTGGCACTCCTCCCCACTCCCATGCTGCTGATTCTGCCCTTCGGTTTGTTAAAACATGGCTTTAAGACGAGGATAAAGGGCCAGCCACAGGGATCATGCTGTACAGGTCCTCTCCCTGGGGAAGCTCTATGTCACCCATCTCAGGGCTGTGCTGGTGGGCTGTGCTGTGGTGCCCCAGAGCCCTGAGGCTCAGGCAGAGTTGAGGGAGCAGTGTGATGAGTGCTGCTGCACACACAGAGTGCCATGTGCTGAGCCACGAGGGCTCAGTGTATGGGGTCTGGGGGTGAGCACAAGGCTTTTCCTTGGGGATCTGGCTACTCACGTTTGGGAGAGAAAGGCCAACACAGCACATGGCTCAGGCGGAGCACTTGCATGGGCTGAACGCTGGCAGTGGTGTGGAGATGTGCCAGTTCCCTGCAAGACAAGACCTGAAGCAGCACTGGGACTGGGACTGGCACTGGAGCTCGTGTGGCTGTCTTGGAGGAGTCACAGCATCCAGAACACAGCACAGCTGCCGGTGTGCCTGGCGCCTCCCACTGGGCTGCCAGGGCCAAGTGCTCCCGGGCTCAGCATCAGCTCCAGGACCCCTCTGACCCGAGAAGCATGAGTTCCTCTAGGCGAGCAACAGCCTCTCCCAAGCCCATGAAGGCAGTCAGAAACACAAACCCACAGCGAGGCGCGATCCTGTGCCACACTGCAGCAGCCTTAACTGATTTTTCTCTGTGGGTCCTGCAGCCCCTCTGGGTCCCTGCCTGGCTCATGAGCGGTGGGACTGCACAACCACACTGGGTGGAGCTGGCTGCCCCAGCCTGGCGCATTTGGGCTTGGTGGGCAGGCAGTAGCCGTGGGCAGGCAGAGGAGTGCCCCAGTGCAGGCAGGTGCCTGGACACCCTGCACGCCACAAGGCTGCTCTGCAGGGGATAAAATCCCTGGGGTGGGGCTGCCAACAGCAGTGGTGACGTGGTACAGTATTCCCCCTGGGTCTCCCTGTGTGGCAGTGCAGAGCTAGCAGCAGGGCTGTTAATGGGGAACTCTATTAACAGAGGTGCACTGCAGGGCATGCTTGAATGGGAGGGGAGCAGGTGCTGCCAATCGTGCAGCTCTGCCCTGGGACTTTGCACCAGGACCCACTGCAGCAGGGCTGGGGGCACTGCTCTGCCCACGGACCCCAGAGCAAAGCAGGTCTGGGGCTGTCCCAGGGTCCCACAGTCCCCTTGCTGCTGCTCAGGACCCCTGCTTGCCCAGCCTGCAGCTCCCTTGGTCCTGCCCACAGGCCTGCCACGCACCAGGTCCTTCCTGGCTTCTCCAGATGGCTGAAGAGGCCCTGAGGCACGGAACCCCTATGCCCACACACCACTCCACTCACAGCCAGGGAGAGCAGCCCATGACTGGGCTGGGGGAGGGCAGCCAGCGCAGCACCAAGCACATGGCCTTTGCAGGCAGCTCATGAGCTCCTGTGCCCCCTCAGGCTGCAGGGCAGCCATGGCTGCAGGTGTGGGGGCAGCGCCTGCAGCTCCCAAGTAGCAGCAGGAAGGCAGCAATCACAGCACTGTTGCTGCAGCACCAACCTGTGGACTGTGCCTGACTTCCAAGGGGCTGGCAGGCTCTGTGCAGACCTGTTTCACTTTGCAGGGAGCTTTCATTTGATTCAGCATCGCAACAGCTAAGCTTTGCTTTTGTCCTCTTTCCCCTTTTTCTCCATGAGCTGCTGATCCCCGTGGGCTTTTACAACTTACACGGTCCCTGCTGTGACACTGCAGCTATCACAGCTCAATCCTGCCAGATGTTCTCTGGCACTCGTGGCACACGTAGCTCACAAAGAGTGTGCTCACCTGGCTAAAGGAAAGCCGTGTGCTCCTGGCAGCTCTCCATCAGGGAAAACAACTGGGGAACGAGAATAAATATTGAACATGATGACAGCATGGACACAATGCAATGGGAGGCTAGGAACCTCATGTGCTGGAAAGTGGCTGCTGGTCTGTGAATCCAGACGACCTCCAACCTCTAGGCACCTGATTTCCTGACTTCTGTCTTGCAGCAGCTGGCCATTCTGCCCAAGAAACAGAGGTGACAAACTGGAGAAACCAATGTCCAGCTTTTGGCTGGAATAGAGCTACTTCACTGGAACAGGCTGCCCAAGGAGGCTGTGGATGCCCCATCCCTGCAGGCATTCAGGCCAGGCTGGACGTGGCTCTGGGCAGCCTGGGCTGCTGGTTGGCGACCTGCACACAGCAGGGGGTTGGAACTGGATGAGTGCTGTGGGCCTTTTCAACCCAGGCCATTCTGTGATGCTTTTCTTCCTATTAGCAGGTATGGTGCTGGTAACATCCCAGACACAGGGATGTTACTTTTGGGGTGTTACAGTGTCTGGTTGTAATGGGCGTGCATACTGTATACAAAGTGCAAAAATAGCACTATAGCAGCTAATGGGAAGAAATTCCTCCCATACTCTACATACCAGGCTTTCCCTCCTCCAACCAAACCCAGCAGCAAAGCTGAGCATTTACTCACCTCTTCCAAAGCAGTGAACCCAGCAGATACGTCACAGCTCAGCCCAAGCACATCAGAGGCAGCACTGTTTGTAGCAGCAGGAGTGAAGTCTGCCCGCAGAAGCCATCCCACCCACTCCCAGTGACTGCAAGCTGCCCCTCCAACAGGTCTCAGGGTAAAAAAGGCACCTCCTCACAAGCATCATTTTCAGGCTACTGTGGTCACTGAGTGAACACCCTCCCACCTCCCACTTTCCAGCAAGTACAAAGAATATTTACTGCTCAAGCCTGTCAAAAGAAAGACACGTCAGTTCATCGTTAGTTTATGGATGGATAATTTTAATGTTCAGGATGTGTCACGGAGACCTGAAGAGGAACAGGAAGAACCAGCAATATGAACTGCCCTCACCACCACGGTAAGGCACATTGATGAACCCAGCTTTAGTGCCTTGATTTCAGACACAAGCACAGATCAGGAGAGCCAGATGTCTCACAGGAGTGCTTCCCTGTCTAGTGCCAGGGACCAGAGCAGTGCCAGCAGCACAGCGCTCAGCTCCTCCTGCTCCATGCTGCACTACACCCAACCCACTCCCTGCCTGGAAGCCCGAGCACCATACACAAAGAGACCAACCCAAAGACAATGTGCGTTTGGCAGGACAGCCTTAAAAACTGGCGAATCACAACACCAGGAACTAAAGAGATGCTCCTTGTAGCACCCGCTGCTTCCATGGCTGCGCAGAGCTCTTCCAGCCTGTGAGAGAATGCTGCTGGCCAAGCTGTTCCTGCGAAGTCGCCTCTGGGGGCAGTAAGGGATGAGGCTCACTGCGCAGAAGTGCATGGCTGTGCTGGCACAGAGCCACAGCTTTAGACGCTTCCACTCTATAACCAGTGCCCTCGAATGCCAGGCTCCCCCTGCTCTCCACATGCTAACGTTTCAGGACTATAATCACAACAACAGAGGATCCTGGAAAGCTCTCTTTTCCTGTGCTGAATTTGCCCAAACACACAGCAGCCTCTGCAGTTAAGAGTGGTACAATTCTTTCCAGAAGAGACAGGAGACTCTCCTGTAGCAGCACAAACCACCTACCAGTACACTGCACTCTGCCCTGCCACTGCCTCGGGCTCAGCTCAGTATCACAGAATATCAGCACAGTATCAACAGTATCACAACTCTAATCACAGAATTCCATCGCTGAAAAACACGAGGTGTTTGCTTTTGTTTGTAATGGGAGAAATCACAACCCTGCGTCACAGCAGTGAGGGGACAGCACGGCTTTGGCACAGTCCAGCCCAGCAAACACAGCGCAAAGTACTGCAGACGTCGTCCTTGGCACTCCGGGTGTTGCAACACAGTGTTCCAGCAAGCTTCGCTCTCTGCCAGCAGTACCATGTAGGTAAAATCTTCACCCAAGGAAAGACAGGCACTCTTAGAGACAATCTTCAGTTCCTGAATCACTTCAGTACTTAACTAGGAAATACTCCTATGTGCAAAAAGTGCTCACAGACATGTCAAACACAAATAATGCCACTGACAAAAGCGTACCGCTCCCAGCCCAACGGCCGTACGGACAGCAAAGCTCCCAGCAAGCCCTCGCCAAGGCGGGCTGCCATGGTGTTTGGGGCAGCACCTCCGGGTGATGGCACACGCTGACCGAGACACAGGCAACCAGAGGCCCACGTTCCATTCCTTCAGGCTGCCGAAACCGAGAGCTCTGCGCTCAGCACAGTGAGGCAGGCCCCAAGCAGAGACACACATGGTCACAGCGCAGGCTAGAGACCAGCGCGCAATAAATGTACCAAGTGTGACAGCACAAAGGCAGCGACTTGGGATTAATGGAACCCACAGAGAGAAATTACTTGACATCAGCGACAGCATCTCCAGGAATGCATGCAGCACACAGACACCGCTGGCAATTATTTAATCTCTACCGTGGCTCAGCAGAACAGAGATGTGGTTCCCACCGGGGTCACAGCACAGTGCCAGTGGAGCAGATGTCAGGGGCCACAAAGGTCCGTGTCCCCACCGGGCGCCTCGCGTAGGGTCTGCTGGCAAACGAGGCATGCGGCGGCGGTGTGGGGCCGTACGGCTGTAGAAGCAACGCCGAGCCCCCGCACGGGTCCCACACAGCCAGAGGGCTGCCAGCACCGCGCCGGCCCGCCGCTACTTGAGGCCATAGAGCATAGCGAAGCCCAGCACGAAGACCAGCCCAACCGTGAGGTCCGTCAGGAACCGTAGGCGGCCCTGGGCCGCGGCCTCCTCCCGGCAGAGGCGCAGCCGCTCCCGCCGCGCTCGCAGCGCCCGCTCCCGCTCCAGCTGCTCGCCGTAGTGCGCGCGGTAGAAGGCGTCGAAGTCGAAGGGCGGCGGCACGGGGCCGCGGCGGGCGGCGGCGGCGCGGGCGGGGGGCGGCGCGGCGGGAGCGCGGCTCGAGGGCCGGGGGGCGCCGCGCACGTCGTCACGGCTGAGGGCGCCGAGGTCGTACTTGCGGCGCAGCGCGGCGCTGCCCAGCACGCGGTAGGCCTCGCTGACGGCGGCGAAGCGCTCGGCGGCGGCCGCGCTGCCCGCGTTGCGGTCCGGGTGGAAGCGGAAGGACTGCCGGTAGTATGCCGCCTTGATCTGCGCCGGCGTGGCGGTGGGCGGGACGTCCAGCACCTCATACAGCGTGCGGCGCGGCGCCTTGCCGCTCCCCGAGCTCCCGCCGCAGCGCGGGGCCGCGCCCAGCCCCAGTCCCGGCCCCGGGAGCAGGAGGCGCCGCAGGCCCAGCGGCAACGGACCCATCGCTCAGCGCCCGCGCGCCGCCATCTTGCCCGAGGCGCGACGTCACTCGGGCGCGACTGATCGTGACGTCGCTCTGGCGCGACGCAGAGACGCGCGGCGCCGTGCGGTGACATCATCACGCAGCATGGCGAGCGGCGGGCGGCGGCCGGAGCACCGCGGGCCTCCCGAACTGGTGCGGGCGGGGCGGGCCGGGCCGTGCGGGCAAACCGGGCCGGGCCCGGGCTCGGGCTCACATCCCACTCCCCCCCCCTTTCTATTCTGCTGTTGCAGTTCTACGATGAGACGGAGGCACGGAAGTACACTCAGAAGTACGGCGGGCGGTGGGACCGGGGGCTTGGGCGGGGGGTCCGCGTGTGCCGCAGTGCTTCCGCTCACCCGCCGCCTTTCGCCCCGCAGCTCCCGCGTGGCCGAGATCCAGGCGCAGATGGCGGCGCGGGCCGTGGAGCTGCTGGCGCTGCCCGAGGGACGGCCGTGCCTCCTCCTGGACGTGGGGTGAGCGGCGCGCGGTGTGCGGCGGGGGTCGGGGCGGGGCCGTCCCGGGAGGGCACCGTGAGCCGCCGTTGTCCCCTTCCCGTCTGCAGCTGCGGCTCCGGACTGAGCGGGGAGCACATCTCCGAGGAGGGGCACTGCTGGATCGGGGTGGACATCAGCCGCGCCATGCTGGGTGAGCGTCCGTCCACACCCCTTTGCAGGGAGTGCCGCGGGCGTTCGCTGAGCGCTGCGCTCCTTGCACAGATGTGGCTGTGGAGAGGGAGGTCGAAGGAGATCTGCTCCTCGCGGATATGGGCGATGGTATTCCCTTCAGGCCTGGCACGTTTGATGGCTGCATCAGGTGAGTCTGAGCACCTGAACGAGCCCTCTGCAGTGTGCACAGTGTGCTCGTCTTGTGTGAGAGAGCACTGCAACTCTCCTCGCTCTGCTGGCACGTGCAGCGCTGTGGGCTGTCTGACTGTTTTTGTGGCAGTGAATCAGCAGGATATTTGGACTAAATAAATTACAGGTGATGTACTTTCAGGTGAGTTGAGATGTGCACCAAAGCATTTCGGATCGAGGGACTGGCCTCACAGCTGAGAAGAGGTTTGATGGTTGGTTTGGGGGCGAAGGCCTGGAGGAAATAAACACTTTTGTTAGAGAATGCTTCTTAAAGGTACTGGTACTGCGAGCAGGGGCTCTCTGTCACCAAACGCCGTGCTCTCTTTGGGGTCACTCTGGCAAAACCTGTGTGGCTACTTATGGACTTTGTTAGGGCCACAACCAAGCACCTGAACACTCTCCTAAAGGAGAGGTCTGGTATTTCTGTTGCTTGAGTAACTGCTGCACCAGGTTGCTCGTAGCATGACATAGTGAGTCTCTATAGTGGCTTTACCACAAAGTAAGGTAAGGCTATATGGAGAAAAATGAATAATTTTCTCTGAAGCCATGCACACGCTCAGTACTAAAAGAATGCTCAAAGGGAGGTGGGAGGCGCTGCTGAGGAATTGATGGTTCAGTGTCCTGCGGGTCTTGATTTCTTTTGCAGTATCTCTGCAGTGCAGTGGCTTTGTAACGCTGACAAGAAGTCACACAGTCCTCCAAAACGCCTTTATCGGTTCTTTTCAACTCTTTATACTGTCTTGGTAAGTGTCATGCTCTCTCAGTCAGCCCTCTGCCTATTTTGATATCGCCACCTGTGCCTTGTAGCAAGACTGAGTAACTGAAATGTAGGATTAGCTGCAGCTCCCATTCCTTGACTGCTTCCCTGTCTGCACAGTGCCTGTGTTTCTGCAGTTCCTGCTGCTAGCCCTGTGCCTTGTTGTGCTCTGGTGACTCCGGCTCTGCCATCTGAGCTGCTCTCCTGGGAAAGTTCTCCAGGAGGCTTCCTGAGGGTTGTGGACTGGGCAGTAAGAGGGGAAGCCTGCTCTAAGCCACGCTTGTGACTTACCTTGTTTCCCACAGGCCCGAGGATCCCGAGCCGTACTGCAGCTGTACCCTGAGAACTCAGAACAGGTACAGCAGAGAAGTGACATGCATGTTTAAGGCTCAGGATGCATTATGTTTTCCTTCATTGGGTCTTTGTGTCCTTCCTCCCACCTGTAAAGCTCTGCAAGAACTAGAGGGGGAAAAAAAAAGAAAAAAAAAAAAAAAACAACCAACAGTTAGGAGAATGCCCTATGTCTTTTCCCCTGTTCACAGTTGGTCTTGGGCTGAGCCTTAAAATCCAAGGAATTGGCAGGATGTGATCTACAGCTGCTGTGCAGCGTGTTCCTTTGTGTGATGGGTTTGAAGACTGGGCTGTTGTAGTCATCAGTGCTGTAGTTAATTTCCTAAGGCTGGAAAATCCTTCCCTGTATCCCCCTCTGAGAATCTGCTCTTCCAGTTAACCCAGGGTAGGCAGAGGAGCAGGGAGAACTAAGGAAATGCTGCAGACTTTTGTCTGGATCCTAACGCAGAGCTGAGGGCTTGGGACAGGGTTTAACAGGAGCAGGGTTGACTTGTCTTTGGCACACACAGTCAGCTGTGTCTGGCCACACAGGGCGGTGAGTGCTAAATAAATGTCTTTTGTTTGTGCTCCTTTTTCAGCTGGAGCTCATCACGGCCCAAGCCATGAGAGCTGGCTTCACTGGTGGCATGGTCGTAGATTACCCCAACAGCACCAAAGCTAAGAAGTGAGTCCTGTGTCTTTGTGTATGGGCATGTGTGGGGTGAAGCATAGCTTCAGCAGCTGTTATTGTAAGCTGTGCTCCTTTCTCCCAGGATACAGTCCTGGGCAGAGATGACAGCTTGGATCTGACTGTATTATAAAAGCTGACAGTCTTGCTTCAGAACTGGGAATCGCGCGTTGACTCCTCACTTCACGCTCCTCTTGTTCTTTCAGGTTCTTCCTCTGTCTCTTTGTTGGGACATCTGGCCCGTTACCAAAGGTAAGGAACTCAGCCAAGCAGCAGAAATGGCTGCCGGCTGATGTGGAAGAGCTGTGGGCCGGGGGCAGCCCCATGTATGCTGATACAGCTTATGTGTTTCTTTGCCACAATTTCTGGGAAATCAGCTTGCTTCTGCCACAGTCCTTCTCCTGGCGAAGCACTGCTCCCCATAATTGGATGGCAGTGACCATCGGCTCTGTCTTCTCCAGATGAAAGGTCTCTGTTTTTCAGGGCCTTGGTACTGAGTGTGCTGATGGAGAAGGGATACGTCAGGCAAAATTCACCAATGAGAGGTATTGTTTGCTTAGTGGAGTTGTCCCCAGGTGTCAGAGGGTGTGATAACTCAGTTTTGCTGGCTGAGGACTGCGGTGCTGCCATGCATAAAACGGCTGGAGGGAGGGGATGGGGGCACTAGGGTGGCTCTCTGCAGCCCAGATGGGCACTGCTCTGTCGTGCTGAAGGGATGGGCAGGACAAGCTGCTTCAACTAGAGAGCTTTGCAGTGCTGTCAGGGAGCTGTCCTTGATGCTTACTGTGAAACTGCAGCTGAGCAATTACTTGGAGGTGCACTTCTGTCCGGCACTCAGTGCTGGAGCATAGGCCGTTGATGGTGGGAGGGAGGTTGTTTTCAGGAGGTTGTTTTTTGGTGGGAAGGCTATGTCTGAAGTCTTATATTCCATTCTTTCCCCAGTGAATTTTTTTGCTGTGATTGCATAGCAGCTGCTTGGGTGGTTTTTCCTTCTGGCTGGGTCTCCTCCCGTGGTAGCGCTGCAAGGAGGAGTCCCTCTTGCAGCCAGTGGGAAGAGACAGAATAAAAACCAGAGGAAAGTCGTCGTGGCTGCCAGGAGCTGGTGGCTGTCATGTTTTCCTGCCTCTTACACTGCGGTGCTCTGCTCACTCAGTCCAGAGATCGCTCACTCAGTCCAGAGGGGATCTCGTCATTAAGGCTGTAGCACAGCTGACAGCCTGTTGGGAAATTGGGGCCTTTGCTGCATTCAGAGTAGGGCAGACAAGGTGCGTGTATCAGATACAGCAGAGGGCAGTGCTGGCCTGCTGCAGCTGTGAAGGGTAGGTGTCTCTTTGCTCAGAGCCAGGGCTGGTGGCAGCCTCCCTCCTGCAGCAGTGCCTGGGCTTGGACGGTGTGGCCACACCTTGCTGTTTCTGAGTGGGAATCCTCCAGAGCACAGAGGTGTGCCCCCACTCCAGTTCCTCCCTAGCTTCTATTTGCACTCTTTGTAGGATACGATTCAGAAATGCCAAGGGCAAGTCTGTGAAGAAAAGCCGGGACTGGATTCTTGAGAAGAAAGAACGCAGACGACGACAGGGCAAGTAAGTTCAGCTGGGTCCTGCTTCAGCTGAGGCTGACTGCTGGCCTGGCTTGCTATCACCCGCTTAGACTTCTGCCATGATCTACCTTCCCTTCCTGTCCCAGAGTGGCCTGTGGATCACACTGAGCTGCTCTTTGCTTTTCTCCCCAGGGAAGTGCGGGCAGACACAAAATACACCGGTCGGAAGCGCCGCCCTCAGTTCTGATTTGCTGTGGACATTACTGACGTGGAGGATTGTGTGCTGGCCTCGTTAGTGAGCCTCTTGTGGATGGCCCCAGTGGGCTTCCTAGGCCTGGGACTTGCAGGAGCCACGGTGACCTGTCTCAACAACTGTACACTGGCTCAGGTGCAGCCAAACTGCTAACTTCAAAGCTTCCAGCTGTTTTCTTTGTGAAGAGAAAGCAGCATAGCGTTCTGGCCACTTGGAGCTTCAGGCAAGCCTAGAGCATTATATGCAGACTTTTCTCTAAACAATCAACAGGTTGAAAGAGTTGCTGGTCTCCTGTGTCATGTCAGTGCAGGGGAGCACTGAGCTGGGAAACAGAGTAGCTGGTTCCTTGCTAGCTTCCCCTCTGTGTGCCAGGAAGTAGCCAGGCAGTATTAGAGGTGTGTGTTCCATGGGTGCACATCTTCTGGGCAGGTGGGCACAGCTGTTATTTGAGCTCTCCTGCGGTGACTCCTCTCGCATGTTCTTCACGTCAGTCCCCCTGTCTGTGTTACTGCTCTGAGGGTGTTGGAGTCTCCCCACCCCAGTCCTTGCTCCCTGTCACTTCCACCCTTCCCCTTTAACAGAAGTGCCAGCCAGAGCTCTACAGTTACAAATGTTTATTCTACATAAAAATTCCACAAAATGGGAAGCTGTTTTGCACCCAAAGCTTTTGGGAGAAGAAAGGCAGGCCAGCAGAGTGGGAAAGGGGGGAAAGGGTGAAGGAGATAAGAGGCAACAATACAGTGTCATCCAGCCCAGTGAGACAGAGCAAGCCAGGGTCAAGATCCACATAGAAAACAAGGACACTTAGCTCACAGTACAGCAACAGTACAACTCCACAGGGGGCTTGGACAGCCTTCAAGTACATTACTTACTAAAAAAAAATAATAAAAAAAAACCGAAAAAAAACCCCAAAACAATCCTCAGTTCAAGTGCAAGCTGTGTGTGCCCCACACTGCTTGTAAAATACTGCATCAACATGCTCCCGGCGCTGGGGGGGCAGGTGGCACTTGGAACAGAGGTGGTAGAACCCAAAGGACAAGTGGGCTGAGGTTGGAGGTTAGAAAGAAAAAGTGAAATGTTTCCCCAAAGCACAACCACGCTGTTGGTGATTTGGTCTGTACATGCAATGACAGGCAGGTAAAAAGGAACTGAACGGGGCTTCCCGTAGTGCAGGGGTAATTATTGCACCAAAACACCCTCCCCTCACAGTGAGGGCAGTACGAGACAGCCTGCGGGGCAGCAATGGCAGCGTGCTCCTCTGCCTCCCTCGTGCCAGAGCCTGCGGCCACTGCTGCCTGCGCAGACCCAGTGAAGCGCCAGTGGCAGAATCACGGCTCTGCTGCCGGCAGTGGCGGCGCTCACAAGGAGCAAGCGTCAGCTGTTCAGCACTATTCTGGGCCTCGTGCCTTTACTGGGGCGGGCTGCAGCCCTGATGTTATGTGAGCTTGTGCCACAGGAACCACTTGTTGGAAGAAAAGTATCCCCTTGTGCTAGCAGTGGGCATTGCTACGGGGAGAGCCTGAGATGAACTTTCTTGCCTGCCTGCCTAGGAGCGGTGCTACCAGCAGTAGTGTTATTGCTTCCCATGGGGGCCTGGTGCTCTCCCTCACTCAACAGGGCACTGTGTGCAAACTGCAGGAGCAGGCATTTGCACAGTGGGGCATGTCAGCCCCAGCTCTGTGCCCCATAGCCAGACATGCCCACAAAGCAAGGGCTGTGCCCATGCCCAACCGCCACACTGGAGGGGAGCTTCACACCCAGCCTGTCCCTGCTGGCAGCAATCCCAGTGCCCCAGACCCTCGTGCCCACACAGCCTGCAGCACTGGAGCTCACACCGGTCACCACAGGAATGTGAAAGAAGGAGGCTCCAGTCTTGGATGTCTGACAGCCACAGCTGGACACACTCCCCGTCAGCAGCCAAATGCAAGCAGGGGCCGCATGGTGGGACCTTTGGTGATGGTGGCAGGGAGCACTGCATTCTAGTCTGCACTCTCCTTCTGAAAGCATGCTGTGCAAGGCTGGTGCCAGCACTGGATGGAGCTGGGTGGGAGCAGGGCTCAGCTCCAGCAAGGCCTGCCCTTACCCTGCCTTGTAGCTCAAGCCCCTCAGCCCTTGGGGAATGTGGAGGCTGGATGCACTCATCTGGCCCTGGTTGGAGTGGGGAAACAGCATTCTGCCTGCAGCTGTGTGTGCTGCCACAGTGACCCTTTTCTGCTATCAGTGCCTGGGCTCACATCCAACTTCCACCCCAGTGCATGACTGCAAGCTTGGCACCACGCACCTGCCCTGCTCAGGCTCCTGCACAGTGCTTTGGCACTTTGTGAGCAAGCCACAGCACTGCAGTCCCCTGAGGAACACAAGGGCAGAGTCCTGCAACCATCTTGAGGCAGGAGCACAGGGATGACAGCCCGGTGGCAATGCAGGCCTCTCTGCTGCAGCAGTCTCAGGTCACCTGCAGCGGGCAGCACATGGCTGCAACCCACAGTGTGTGGATGTCTCACTGGGTGGCCTGGAGAAGGGCAGGCAGCGTGGCACTGTCCCAGAAGAAGGTGGCAGGCAGATGCTAGGATGTGGCGGAGTTGGAAGGAGCAGTCAGGCATTGCCCTACTCAGGAGTTGGTGGCACAGAGGAAGAGGAAGAGGAGGAGGAAGGCTGCTGCTCCTAGTTTGTGGGGGTGGATGCAACAAGGGCTGCTCCCTGGGACTGTGGCAGGAGCAAGCCCTCCTGCCTCCAACCCCCAGCCCGAGGGCGCTGTGTGGAGGGGCAGTGCTGGGCACATCCTGGCTCCCAGGGGGCACCACCGGGGCTGTGGGTGTCCAAGCTATTCCCAAACACTGACAACCAGAGCCAGGCCTGGGGGTGGTAAAACCCAGGGTCACTGTGCGCCGGAGCTGAGTAAAGAACAAGGAAGATGTGGAGCAGGGCAGGCAGCCAGTGAAACTCGCTGCCCTTAAAGTCCCTGTGACCTTTTGCTCTGCCAGCCTGGTGCTGGGCCACAGCACTGAGCCCATGCAGCTGTCCCCATCCCCAGGCTTCAGCAATGGACCCCATGCTGCTCCATTGGGCAGGGCTGGAACAGAGCCACTCACCACGCAGCACCCACTGGCAGCAGCAGCACACCCAGCAGCAGCACCGGGCACCTGCAGCAGGGCAGCAGGGATGGAGGGCCTGGGAAGCACCCCGTAGGAGAAGCAGCCTAATGAAAGTGGTTTGCAAGCACAGATGCGGCTGACAGACATGAGAGCTTTGGCCGGAGCTGATGGGAAAAGCTAGGGGGAGGCTGCCTGGACTCTGTGTTCCTGAGGAGCCTGTAACACCCCACGCTAGTCTCATCTCTGGGTGTCACCGACAGGCTCCTGGCCCAGCACAGTGCCCAACAGTACCTCTGTTCCCCCACTCCCGGCAGCCTCCCAGGCCAAGCAGTGATGAGAGCTCGGGTTGCCCCGAAGGTCCCCCTCACACCCATCACCGTCCCCTGCACCCCATCTGCGCCCCGGGGCCGGCGCTCCCTCCACACAGATGCACCGCACACACAGCATCACAAACAACCATGCATTAGAAACTGAAATGCTGCTGGGGGCTCCGGGGCTGCATGGCTCGCTCCGGCCCCACAACACGCGCGGCTCCGTCCGTCACACGCAAGCAGTCCTGTCGGGGGAGTCTAGCCGAAAATGCCGCCAAAGGTGGAGGCGATGACGATACCCAGGATCACGCAGCAGATGATGATCATGATCTTCTTCTGCTCGGGTGTCCCAGCACCGAAAGGGAGAGAGGGGAGAGGGGGCCGTGAGTGCTGGGGGCTGGGGCCTGCCCTGCTCCCCAGGCTCTGACCCTCCTTCAGCTTGGGGAACAGGACAGTGCTTGGGGTCAGAGCTCTACTGCCTTTCTCCACCGCCTCCTCGTCCTTTAGGCTCGCAGCCAGCTCAGCCCTTGGGTCCACTCTGTCCCTTTTCCTGTCCTCATGTGGCAGCCCTGCCCCACAACCTCCCTCCCGGTGCTGCCTGCCCACGTCTGGGTGCTCAGCCCCAGCCCTGCCAGCCACCCCGTGCTGCCACTCACCCGTCTGGCTTTGCTCTGGTACTTCACCGCTTTTTTGGTGTCAGACACAGCTCGCTCCACGTAGTCCACAGAGTGTTCCACGTTGTACTCGATGCGGTCGATCATCTCACCCTGCAGAGCAGGGACAGAGCCCACCCGCCGTGAGCTCCTTCCTTCCCCGCTGCTCCCTGGCACCATGCAGACATCGCCCTGCCCATCCCTGGTCCTGTGGAAGAGATAGAGACCATCACCCACCTGCTGCAGGCTCACAGGCAGCAGGCACCACAGGCAGCCCTGGGGTGGGGGCTCAGACTGAAGAGTGCACTGACATTGTGCTGCACACCGGAGAAGCAGGAGGGATAGAGGACAAGAGCCAAGAGCACAGCTGCAGCACCACGTGGGATGCTCACAAAGCCACGAGCATGCAGAGATGACTGCTCTGATCTGCACAAGCGCCCTGCAGAAGAGCAGAGTCTCCTGGAGCGAGGCTGGTGAGTTTGGAGCACCGGGTCCTGCAGGAGCTGCTGCTCCGCTCGACTCTGCCCTGGGATCTGGGGACATGCTGCCCAACCGACCCACACCCTTCAGCCCCTGCATGTGTCAATGACGCACTTTCCAGGGACAAGGAGGGGCTTGAACCCCAACATCCTCCCCATGGCACAGAGCTGGGGGTCATGACCAGCAGATTTACAATGCTCTTTTCTCGTCTTAACTGCTTCCTGCACCCACCAGTGCCATATCTGGGGCAGAGCAGCAGCTGCCAACATGCGGTGCTCCTCTGCTCCCTGCCTCCTCTGTGCCAGCAGCTCAGAGCCCCCCACCCTATGGGGCAATGCAAGGCGTTGGTGGTTACAGCAAGGCAAGTGCTCTGCAAGGCAGCCCACTGCACAGCTCTGTGCCTCTGCTTCTCCCAGAGAAGGCAGGTGAGGGCTGGTAGTGCCCCTTCCCACACAGGCTCTGCACAGCATCGTTGGGTCCTGCAGTCCCTGCAGACCTGTGGGGTGGCAGGACGGATACTGGCAGCACACAAGGTCAGGAACGGTCACGGTGCCCTGTGTCACCCAAAGGAGACTCCTCGTCTGTGCGTACCATGGGGGACTCACCGTCCATGGGCTTCATGGGGAACCAGGATGTAGTGGGGACAGGCAGGGTTTCCAGCAGAGGTGACAAGGCGCAGCGATCCCAAAGTAGTAGCAAAGTGGGGACACAGGACCTGGCAGCTTTGAACAAGGTAAGGGCGGCCCTGCACAGACTGACACTCTGCTCACACTGGGGCCAGTTAGGGGGGACAGAAGATAGAAAGACTCCTCTCGGAGGCAGATGGCACTTGCCCTGTGACCTGCCCTGGGGAACCTGGCCTGGCCTAGCTCAGCAGATCCAGCCCAATGCCCTGCAGAAATCAGGGGAGAGCTGTAGAGATGCAGAGGGCCGGGTGTGCCATGGGCAGGATGCACAGACACCTCCACCCTCCCCCCGCGTCCTTGGGCCTGCCCCAGTGCCACACAAGAGCAGCAGACATGCAGAGTGCAGCCATGCAGAGCTGAGCATGCAGCACTGGCAAAGGCCAGGCGAGGCTTTACCTGCACCGATGTCTCCTCGGGCCGCGACAGCATGGCGGGCAAGAAGGGGGGTGAGCAGAGACACGGAAGCATGGGCCTGGGGCTCACCAGGCTCTGCAGCGGGGCCCAGTCCCACACAGGTCCCCCAGTGCCAGTGCCCAGCTCCAGGGACAAGGACTGGTCTGCAGCCAGGTGCCGGACACCCGCTGCCCTCCTGCGCCACCCTGCACCTCCCACCCCACACACAGGATCCCACTCTCCCCGCAGTGCCCACCCAGCAGGGAGCTGCACGGGGAAGGCTGCCCACCCCTGTGCCTTCTGTGCCCCAGCCCTGCTCCCCTCCAGCCCCGGGGTGAGCTGGCCCTGAGCCACGGCCGTCCCTACCTGGCTTTCCACTAGCATGGCCATGTCCATGAACATGTCATGCAGCTCTCGGATGCTGTTCTCCAGTTTGATGATCTCACTGTGTCGCGTCTCAATCTCGTTCAGAGCCTGCTTGGTGATGTTGGAATCCATAATGATCTGTGGGGAGATGGCCAGCACGCAGCTCAGCGCAGCCCCTCACTGCTGGGATGGGGCACCAGGAGGGGTGAGGGGAGGGTTGGGAAGGAGAGCAACTCCTGGGGCAGACAGGAAGGTGCGGCCAGGCCCCAGCAGCACTTTGCATGTGCCCACGTCCCCATTGCAGGGCAGTGCTTGGGGCAGGGCCACCAGAAAACTCCTCCAGGGAGAGTGGCTGGCGTGGCTGCAGGCTGGCAGCAGGGCTGACCTGCGGTACTCACCCCAGAGGAGAAGATGGCTGGGTTGCCGCTCTCCAGCATGTCCTCCAGCTCCTCGCTGGTGGTGGTCCTGCCAGCTGCAAGCAACACACAGGAATCAATGGGACTTCCTGCCCTGGCTGCAGCCTCTGCAGCCCTACACAGGGCTCTGTTGGCTCCAGCCATCCCCAAGGAGCAGAATTGAGTTCCCTGAGCACAGAGGGCAGTGATGGGATGGAGAGCAGCAACCCAAGAGGAGGACGGACTGCAGGGCTGCCCTGGCCTGGCAAGCCCACGAGGACAGCCAGCTCCACCTGCACACCAGCGCTGCACCTCTGGCTGGAGCTCTCCGGGAGCCCAAACCCTATCACTGAGGGGAGAACAGGAATGCATCCCAGCCTGCCTGAAACCAACAGAAAGACTGCAAGGAAGGGCTGAGGTCTGGCACAGCACACCCCACCACACACTATCCACGGGGTCTCTTAGAAGGTATCAAAAGGGACAGCAACGTTCTCTGGTATGAGTCCAGGGCATCTCTGAACCTCTGAACAGGGCCGTACCCAGCTGCAAACCCCTCCCCTGCAGCACAACCAAGGAGACGGTGGCAATGTGGGACACAGCACTGCAGTGAGGGACAGGAGCGGGCTGCTGACCCAGGGGACTTCATGTGCGCTGCTCTGCCAGTGCAGGGAACACACGCCCAGTGAGCGGCGGGCTCTGGAGTAAAGGCTGTTCATTAGCAGTTCATGCTCTCAGCTTTGATTCTCCATGGAACAAATGGGTTTATGCCTACAGCCGGGCCAGGAACATGTGGCCTCCTCCCCAGCGGCAACCCCCAAAGCAGGAGCTTCCTGTGGGCTTTCTTAGCCATGTGCTAAATGCGGATGGATGAGAAGGGCAGCAGGAAGATAAATGCTGCCCTGTGAACATCCTCTGTGATGTGGAGCTTTGGAGGTAGCATGAGGCAGCCATTCCTGGGATGAGCAAAAACCTGGACCTTCCTGAGAGTACACTCTGAGCAGAGAGAGCAGAGATGTAGGGCATTACAGCCCAGAAGGAACACAGGACAGATGGTCCATCCATGAGGTGAAAGTGCAAGGAAACACTGAGGGTGAAGAGCAGCAGTGTGAGGCTTTACAGGGACTCAACAGCCCAACAACTTCCAGCAACACAACCAGGGAAACACATACCACCTTTAATTGCAAGTAAGACTACCTCAGACAAAACCTTCCACAACTCCAAATAGAACAGTCCAAAAAGGCTTTGGCGACTGGGAAATTGTTGGCAGTCAGAGATTTCTGAAGGCTCAAACAAATAAGGGCAACTTATCCTTCCAAAAAGACCTCTGTGGAGATGAGAGCTCGTTCTGCGAGCACTTCTTTAACTTTGGTGGAAGACCACCCTGAGCCCGCTGGTGCTGAGTGTGGCCCACCCTGCTTCCCACACTGAGGGACCTCATTTCTCCGTCAAAACATCTGACTCTTGTCAGAGCTCCTCTCATGTTTGAGTCAACCATTCCTTCTAACGGCCCACAGTGACAAACCAGCTCCTGAGAGAAGCCCTGCCCTGCAGAAAGGCAGGCTGCCTGCTCTGAAGGGCAGCTGCCGGCTCCTTGCTCTCAGCTGAAGCTGACCCAGACCCAGAGAAGGAAAGCAATGGCTGGAATAGCACAATGTCACTGGCCCCTACGTCAATCCTGTTCCACACTGAGCAGCCACCAGCAGTGACAAGGAGTGTGCCGGGTACAGTGCATCCCAATGGCCCTTTGCTCTGTCGCATGCAAGCCCTGGAGACAGCGCTGAGGACAAGCAGCAGGACCAGCTCCCGGAGATACTGTGTGTGCAGGCAGATAGGATGATGGGCTCCCTGGCTTTTGCTGTCTCCTCACTGCCCCATTCCACTTCTGCAGAGCAGAAGGCTGGTAAAGGCCCCAAAGCATTCAGGGCACCGTGTGGATTAGCGAGTGGAGGTCTGGTCAAGCTGCTACAAAGAGCTTGCTTTAATGCCAAGGCAAAACATGGGGCCCGAAGGCTGCACCTTATCTGCAGCATGGGAATGGCTTTGGAGCAGCACAAAGTTCATCACACCATGGCTGTGCTGCTGTGGGAGGCCAGCTGTGCCCATCCAGCTGCAGCACCTCAGAACTATGAGAGGCAGTTGTGTGTAGTCAGCACAGCTGCTGAGAACCACCACAGGAGCAGCAAGGAAGGCAGCACTCCCGACAGCCTCAGCACACTGCCACTGCATACAAGGCACCAGAGGCTTTCTGCTGCCACAGGCCGCAGGAACCAAGGTGTTGTGCACAGACCCTGCACACCAGCTTCCCCCAGAAGAGGGCAGGACCCTCAGCGTCACTAACAGGACACCACTGCACCCAACACTGTGAGCCCTGAGCAGTCTCTTCCTTATGCCCCGTTGGCATGATGTGACAACTGTGTAGCACGGGCAAAGTGCTGCATAATGTAAGCAGAGTGGCAGAGTCCTTTCAAAACCTAAAAAAACAGAGAAAAGTTCCTTTTAGTTTGTTTCACAGCTTCTCTGCAGATGATTAGGATTTGGGTAAGTCCTTCCAAATCTTCTCTCTCAGAAGGGAGAACTAAGGATACTTCATCTGCCCGCTGTAGGACACCATTGTGGCTGGTATCACCTGCAGCATGCCGTGAGCTCACAGATGTCAGCACCTGCAGGAGCTCACACACACTCTCCATCCTGCTTCCCACTGAATGCCAAGCACTCGCTGAGCCTTGTGTCCCTCTTCCACTCAGACAGCATAAACACTTGTTATCACTATACATCGCACAGAGGAACGATGCACACAGCCAAATCTCTTGGCTTTCCGCAGGAGCTGCCCATACCCACAAGCACCCACTTTCACAGGCAGGATGACTTTTCCACCCCCCCAGGTGACCCTGCGGGAACCCCTTCGGCCCTACCTTGTTGTTCAAGGTGGGTTTAAAGGGAAGAGGCACTGACTTTTTAGAAAAAAAAAAGAAAAAAAAAATTGCCATTTAGCAAAGTCTGTGGAAAGACTGGTTACAAGAGTGGATGGTGATAGGACAAGGGGAATGGTTTTAAACTGAGACAAGGGAGGCTTAAGTTGGATATTAGGAGGAAGTTTTTCACTCTGACGGTGGTGACACACAGGAACAGACTGCCCAAGGAGGCTGTGGATGCCCCATCCCTGCAGGCATTCAAAGCCAGGCTGGACGTGGCTCTGGTCTGGTGGTTGGCGACCTGCACACAGCAGGGGGTTGGGACCAGATGGTCATTGTGGTCCTTTTCAACCCAGCCTGTTCTGTGATTCTGTGATCTGCTCATCCTGACACAGTGCTTATTTCCCTAGTTATGGTGGTGGCTCTTCTTTGGTGGGAGATGACCCATTTCTCTAAAGCTAACCAGGTGCCACTAATTCCCCAGAGCAAGCAATGGTTTCTGGGTTACATGGGGGGTCCCAGGGAGATCTCAGTGCCACAGCTACTGCAGCCTCAGAGGCGTCACTTGCAGCCTGCCTGCAGGGAGAGGACACCACTACTGCTCAGAGCCATCACATCAATAGGGTCAAGCATTGGGTCCTACATTTTGGTCAGAACCCCAGGCAAACCTACAGGCCTGGGGAGGAGTGTCTGGAAAGCTGCCTGATGGAAAGGGACATTGGTGTAATGATGGATAGTGGGCTGAATATGAGCGAGCAGTGTGCCCAGGTGGCCAAGAAGGCCAATGGCATCCTGGCTTGTATCAGCAATGGTGTGGTGAGCAGGACCAGGGAAGTCATCTTGCCGCTGTAGTCAGCACTGTTGAGGCCTCACCTCGAGTGCTGTGTTCAGCTTTGGGCACCTCAGTACAGAAAAGACATGGAGGTGCTGCAGCAGGCCCAAAGAAGGACAGCAAGGCTGGAGAAGGGCTTGGAGAATATGGCCTATGAGGAGCAACTGAGGGAACTGGGGCTGTTTGGTCTGAGGAAAAGGAGGCTGAGGGGAGACCTGACTGCTCTCTTCCAGTATCAGAAAGGTGCTTACAGCAGAGTGGGGTTGGTCTCTTCTCACTGATGACAGGATGAGGGGAAATGGCCTCAAGCTGCACCAGGGTAAATTTAGGTTGGATGTCAGGAAACACTTCTTTACAGAAAGGGCTGTTAGCACTGGAATGGGCTCCCCAGGGAGGAGGTTGAGTCACCATCCCAGGATGTATTTAAAAACCGTCTGGATGTGGTGCTCAGGGACACGATTTAGCGGTGGGTTGTTAGAGTGAGAGTAATCTAGGGTGAAGTTGCGGTTGGACTCGATGATCTTTAAGGTCATTTCCAACCTGAGCAATTCTGTGATCGAATGATTCTGTGGTCACAATGCTGGGACAGGGCTGCTTCGAGGGGGAACGCTGGGACAGAGCGCCCGGGTCTCAAGAGCTTAGTTTTCTCCTGTTTCTTACGTCACACACCTGGAACAGAAGCCCCAACAAGGAGCGGCTCTCTGCCTTCCTTAACCTGAGCAGCTGAACAAGCACCAACTGTGGCATTACGCCGCAAACCCTCAGGGTGACGGCTGCCATCCCACTGCCCGCAGCCCCGGTGTGCTCCTGCCAGAGCCCAGCAGCGGTGCAGCACACGGCCCGCATTACTCACTGATCTCCAGCTGCCGCTGGATCCTGCCCTTGCAGCGCTCCCGGTAGTCGGTCTGCGTGGCGTTGTATTCAGACATCACCTCCACAAACTTGCGTGACAGCGTCGAGTGCTGCAGAGGGAAAAGCAACAGGAGGGTCACCGCCTCCGGCCGCCCGCGCACCGCCTGCAGGCCGGGCTGCCCCGACCGCGGCAGGGATGCAGGATTTGCAGCCTCAGCACAGCGCCCCGTGACCTCGTGGCCGGCGCACAGCAGCACCGAGCTGGAAGCCCGGCACCGCCCGCTCACCTCCCCAGCTGCTCCTGCAGCGCGTGGCTCTGACAGCACTGCGGGGATCTGTCAGAAGCAACAGGGAACTGCTGGGCAGGGAGCGGGGCCGGCGCCGCTGGCAGACAAAACATCACTGAACTGGTTTTGAATCAGGCTGTCCTCGCTGGGAGCAGGCAGTGAGCGGCAGCCCCAGGTGTGCAGCCCAAGCCCTCCTGCTCATGAGGCACGGGCAGGGGCACCTGGATGCGGCCACAGAAAGCGGCTGGACCAGGGCCTGCCTGGGATGGAGGTCACACCGTGCCTTGCTGCCTCCACACAGCACTGCCCCCCTTCAGGAACCTCAGTGACAGCAGAGCCTTCAAAAATCGTAATGGAATCACAGCACGTGATTGGGTTGGAAGGGACCTCAAAGACCCCCAGCCCTATCCGTGCTGTGGGCTGGGTGCCCCCAGCTCAGGCTGCCCAGGGCCCATCCGTGGCCTGAGGAACCTCAGGGATGGGACAGACACAGCTCTGGGCAGCAATGCAGCACCTCACCGCCCTCTGAGTGAAGAATTTCTTCCTTTTATCTCATCTCAACCTCTCCTCTTTTAGTAAATCTGTTACCCCTTGTCCTAACACGATGGCTGCAGTGAGCTCTCCTCTCTTCTCCAGTCAGAACACCCCAGCTCCTCGGCCCGGCTCCACAGCAGAGGTGCCCCAGCCCTCTGAGCACCTCGTGCCCTCCTCTGGACCCGCTCCAACAGCCCCACGTCTTTCTCGTGCTGCGGGCCCTGGGCCTGGACGCAGGACTCCAGGTGGGGCCTCACGAGGGCACAGCAGAGGGGGACAGTCCCCTCCCTGCCCGCTGCCACCCCTCTGCCGATGCAGCCCAGGCTGCTGGCGGCTCTCCGGGCTGCACGCTGCTGGCTCAGGTCAGCTTTCCCTGTTCCAGAACCCCAAGTCCTTTCTGCAGGGCTGCCCTCACTCCATTAATATCCCAGTCCACACTGATGTTCGGGATTGCCCTCATCCAGGTGCAGAACCTTGCGCTGACCCCACCTCTCAATCCTGGTCCCTCTGACTGCCATCCCTTCCTTCTGTTCTATCAGCTGCATCGCTCAGCTCAGTGCTGTGCACAAACTGCTGGGAGTGTGCTCAATCTCTCTGTCCGTATCTCCACTGAAAGTACTGAACAGTACTGGTCCTAATGCAGCCCCCTGAGGGATGTCACTTGTCCTGGACAACATTTTAGCCACAAAATAGTGTGTCCATCAAATCCCTGTGTGTCCAATTTGGAGACAAGGATGTTCTGTGGGACTGTAACAAAAGCAATGCACAAGTCAACACACATGACACTGGTTTCTCTTCCCTTCTCTACCAGTGCTGCCACTCTGCCATAGAAGATTATCAGGTTAGCAAGATGTGATGTGCCCTCTGTGAAGATCTGCTGGTAATCTCCCTGTCTTCTGTATATCTTAAAATAAGACAGGAGTCCGTGCCAGGACGCTGTGTGATCCAGCTGCCAGCAAACATGAGCACAGCCAACAGCCCTGAGGCTGTCCTCGAAGAGTTAGGGTACAGCACCCCACGCAAGCTACCTCCAAACCCTCCCACCTCTTAAATTAGCCCTTTCTACAGAGTGCCAGAAGTTTCCAGAGGCAAGAATGGTGCACAACCCAGCAGCACACTCACAGGGCACCCGCAAGCAGGAGCTAGCTGATGGCCTGCAAAGCAGGGAGGAGGCCACCCTCAGCATTAGCCCTGCAGCCCGCCTGTGCAGCCAGAGCCCAGGAACAGGGAGCAACAGGAACCAAAACAGACATGGAAAAGAGGGAGAAAGGAGAGGAGGGAATGGAAAAGATGGGAAAATCCAGAATGGGTGAGAAAGCATCTAAGGAGCGAAAAAATTGAGAGTGACTGACGTGATGAAGAAACTCCTCCAAGTGCTTCCCCTGTGACTTTCGGGTCCACCAGCACAGCCCATCCTCACAGCAGTTCACCACCACAGAGAGATGCACCCCACGGCTGTGCCTGAGCCGGAGGGAACCTCAGAGCCCATATGTGGGGAGGACTGGGGCAACACGGCATCTCCCCACACTGCAGCTCCCAGCAGGCCCAATGCACACAGCCCCTCATGCTCCTGCCACGCGTCCACGTGTCCTGAGCCAACGCAGCCCCTGCCCCTGGGCACGGCACTGGAAACATCTTCAGCCACATTTGCCTTTGCTTCACAGCTATTCTCAGCAAGCAGCAGCTCGGTATTTATGGCAGAGCCTCAGGCTCAGGCAATCTTATTCCTCCTCTGCTGGCCAATCTCCCACGGAAGCCCAGGGCAGCTCCCACGTCGGCAGGCAGCCTCTGCTCCAGGTGCCACGGCACGGTCGGAGCAGCTGCCGTCACCCCCAGCTCACGGCTCAGAACCCCACACAGCTGCCATGCACGGTCCGAGAGACTCTCATCCTGCCTTCTCAAAATGGTCTTCCTAAAATTCAGCTCATCCTGCCGAAAGCTATCAACATACGCTGCTCTGAAGCCAGATATCGCCTTGGGTGCTGAATGACTCCTTGCTGCTCAGCAGCATAGCGTACCTACTCTCTTTTACTTAAGAAGTTATTTAACTCGGTGTTCATTCTGTCAGATTGTTATTTTTTGTTCCCATGGGCGTCCCACATGTCTACAGAATGCATCTGATTTTCAAGGAACATGGAGTTTCATGAAAATGGGCTAGAAAAGGCATTTAGGCATTTTAAAAGACTTTTAGTCATTAAATAAAAGCCACCTGAATATTCAGAGTAAATAAAAGCACATCGCAATGGATCTTGCATTTGAAACAAATTCTTTAAACAGAAAATATTAACTGGAGTTCTGAAATGGAGCTGCTTCAGCTAAAGGGGAGGGTGAGGGTGGGTGTGAGGGAAAACCTCTCAGAAGGAAGGGTGCAGCACTGGCACAGGCTGCCTGGGGGGTGGTGGCCGTCCCTGCAGGTGTGTAAGGAAAGGGCAGCTGTGGCACTGAGGGACGTGGTCAGGGGGCAACGCTGGTGGCAGGGGGGCGCTGGATGATGCCAGAGGTCTTTCCCAGCCTCTACGATTCTGTGCTTGTCCTTGAGTGCTTCCATCACTAAGAGACACTTCTGAAGTGCTCGTCCTGAGGGGCTCCTGTGGGACAGCCCAGCCCTCCCTCAGGATTCCCCTGTGCTACAGGGCTGCACAGCTCCCACCTGCTGGGCGAGTATTTCCTCCAGCTACACAAACCAAGCGCAGAAGCAATTAAAGCAAAAGCTATTCTGAATAACAAGCACTGACATTTGGAAGAACATAAATGCCAGTGTTCGCTCCGTTATGAACTCAAAATTACTTTCATACTTAAAAGTCCATAATCTTAATGCCTGGCCACTCCTGATTTACAGCCTGCTAACGCAGAATGAGCTCGTTTCACTCAGGTTTGCTCATAGCACAAAGCAGCGAAGCCCTCACTGCAGAAATACCTACAGAAGGACTGCACTTCATGTACCAGACATCTAAATCAGATCTCCAGTTCAACCTGTCCTGACTCCCACGCACAAATGCGCCTTTCAGAAGAAGGATGGCTTCCTTGGGCTTCATTCTAGACAGATCAGAGCATGCTGCTGAACGTATGGCAGGAAAAGAGTTTAGAAGTGACAATTTTGACACCTTTGGAGGTTTAGCCATTGCAAAATTTTCCTCACAGACCGGTGATTTAAAATTAGTTTCAGTCTGGTTCCCAACCATTTCTTTGGCTCCAGACAGCACAGCCAAGTGAAGGTGAGCCTGGCCACACAGACAGTGATGTGAACTCTGGCAGCACTCAATACAGCTGGTGATAAGCAAACGCATAGGACCAGACAGGATGCATCTGAGCGTGGAGCTGAAACCAATTCACTGCAAATTGCCTCTATGGAATCTTCTGCAGACAGAGGTGATCGCAAGTTACCCAGAGGACTGACAAAAGGCAAACGTGACACCAATCTTTCAGGAGGAGGACGTGGGAACCCACGCCTGCTCAGCATCCTTGAGTCACTGCCAAAGTCACTGGATACAGAACCATCATAGAATCATCACAGAACAGTTAGAGTTGGAAGGACCCCTAAAGGCCATCAGGTCCCACTCCCTGCAGTGCACAGGGACACCCACAGCTCCATCAGTGCTCAGAGCCTCCGCAGCCTGACCCTGGCTGTCTGCAGGGATGGGGCATCACTGCCTCTCTGGGCAACCTGTGCAGTGCCTCACTGCCCCTAGTGTAAACAAAATTGGAAATGGCCAGCTTGAATATTCCAGAGGTGAATCATGCTGTACCAGTCTGATTGTCTTCTCCAATGGTATGAGCGGCCGTGCAGACGAGGGAAGGTCAGGGAACAGTGTGCACACCCTGAGTTGCAGGCCTTTGATGAGATGCAGACTGGATAACGCAGAGGGAAAAAACACTAGGCAAAAAGGGCTGTGAACAGCGATACTAAGTCTAAACAGATTTTGAGGTGACCAAGATGGTCTGGGCTGGAGCAGGGGATCACAGAATCACAGAATTGTAGGGGTTGGAAGGGACCTCCTGAGATCATCGAGTCCAACCCCCCTGCCAAAGCAGGTTCCCTACACCAGGTCGCACAGGTAGGCATCCAGGCAGGTCTTGAACGTCTCCAGAGAAGGAGACTCCACCACCTCCCTGGGCAGCCTGTTCCAGTGCTCCGTCACCCTCACTGTAAAGAAGTTCTTGCGCATGTTTGTGCGGAACTTCCTACGCTCCAGTTTCTGGCCATTTCCCCTTGTCCTGTCTCCACTCACCAATGAATGAGGACAGGCTGAGAGAGGCAAGTATGATCACCTGGAGGGACATAGCTGAAGGGATCTTATTGCTGACTACAGCAACCTAATGGGAGGTGAGAAGCCAGAGCCAGATTCATTCTGGAGGTGCAGAGCAGTGGGACAACAGGTGGTGGACCAAGCTGGGATACTGGCAATTGGAAATTTCTCATAGGAAATCTGACAGGGATTAGGGGCAGCGGGGAGTGGAGGGGTGGAAATCATTACAAAGATGATCAAGCACTGGACCAGGGCCCAGAGGAGCCACGAACCTGGTGTCCATAATGTGTCCACACTCACAGACAGTGAGAATGCAGACCAACAAGGCCATGAGCAGCCTGGCATGGCAATGCTCTGAGGCAGAGGCTGTGGTCCCCTCCCACTGAACACACTGTGATCCCTCTGTCAGGACCTCATCCATGTGTCAGACATGTGTTGGGCTTTTGGCTTGTTGCTGGATGGCCAAGGCCAAGCACCAGGACTCAGAAGAGCAAGAAGAGGTAAGAGGTGGCCCAAATTTCCTCTGTCCCTACTAAGGAGTGAAGAGAGATGGCAGCTCAGAGGTCCTAGCTCTGCTGCTGTTCCTTTGCCTGAAAATGACCTCTGGGGCTGGTCCCTAGGACTCTGCAGCCTCAGCAGAGCTGTGCCACGACTCCTACAAGCAGGAGAGAAGAGAGGACACACAGAGGGGCTTGCTGCCATCCTGCTTTGCTGCACACTCTGCACTGTGCTTTGCTTCAGCTTTGCTGTGTCCTGCTAAAAGCATGGCCCAGCACTTGGCATTCCTGCTTGCTCCTGAGACACATCTGAAGCATTTCTCTTGCATTAATTCTGCACAGCATTGCTTGCTCACCGCCTCGGGCTCAGCCTCCCTCCACCTGTGTGGGGTTTGGATCATGCAGAACACCGTGCTGGCAGCAGCCTCTGCAGAGATTTACTAATGTCACTGGGGTATTGATTAGGGTCTGACTGCAGCACAGGGGAGCAGACTGTGCAAAAGGCTTCCCGTGCTGAAAAGGAATAAAAACAGTCAAATTCCTCTGGCTTCCCCGCAAAGTGTTTTGAGAAAATAAGATTCCTGGTGAGCTATAGCTGTGGGAAAAACCCCCATGAGAGTGAAGTTGTCTGCATCCCCCCACTCACAGGCACTGAAGAACAATGCTGGCAGCTGCTATTTGCATTATCAGTTTAATGGCATGCTAAAACAAGACCTTTGCTGCAGAACAAGGCCTCATTTGTCTGCTCTGAGATGCCTTGTTTTTGTTCACATCTGCCAGTGCATTCACTGAGGACAAAGCACCAGAGCCTGCCCTGAAGAAAAGGAGAAGCAAAGGCCAAAGAAGCACTGCCAGAGCAATGGACCCATTCTGCAAGGTGTGTTCTCGTTGAAGGCCCACTGGTAGACTGGCCAACCCACAACAGAGACGGTGCAGCATCACTAAGCTGTGAGGCAGTAAATCACAGAACCACAGAATCATTAAGGTGTTCAGCCTGGAGAAAAGAAGGCTGCGGGGTGACCTCATTGCAGCCTGCAGTACCTAAAGGGAGCCTGCAAACAGGAGGGGAGTCAACTCTTTGAAAGGGTAGATAACAGGACAAGGGGAAATGGTTTGAAGTTGAGGGAGGGGAAATTTAGATTTCAGGGGGAAGTGCTGTACAGAGAGAGTGGTGAGCTGCCCAGAGAGGCTGTAGATGCCCCGTCCATCCCTGGAGGTGTCCAAGGCCAGGTTGGATGGGGCCATGGGCAGCCTGGGCTGGTATGAAATGTGGAGGTTGGTGGCCCTGTGTGTGGCAGGGGGTTGGAGCTTTGTGATCCTTGAGGTCCCTTCCGACCCAGGCCATTCTGTGATTCTGTGATCATCTAGTTCCCACCATGCCCACTGAACACGTCCCTCAGTGCCACATCTCCATGGCTCTGGAACACCTCCACACTTCCTGAGCTTCATTATAAGGATGTTGTGGGAGACAGTGCAAAAAGCAGCACTGAAGTTGAGGTACATGACACTTCTTGACACTATTTCTTTCTGAGGTGGTGAGAGGGGATGTACTCAGAATTATATGATATTTCAGCCCAAGAAGGGACTTCACTAGGTCATGCAGCCCAACATCAAGCTCAAAGCAGGATCAGTGACTCCTGGTTACCAGTGTGTGTTGCTGGACCCACAGAACCCCATGTCCCTCAGCCCCCATCTCTCATAAAGCCAACACGCTCCATCTCCCTTGACAAGACCAGAAATGAGAGCAGCACACATCTGTCAAAACTGAGCAGCCATGGGCCATGCCTGGAGGAAAAGATACAGCCTTAGCACCTGAGTCTCATTAACAAAACCCAATTTAGCTTGTTAATGTCACATAACACACTCATTTCTTACGGAACAACTTTGCCCCATTCCCCCAAAAAGCCATGAGAACACTGGCCAGGGCAGAGACTCACCTGAGTTTTCCTTATCCTCAGGTCGGCAGATGACCTGTTCAGTCCTTCCTCTTGTTCGATACTCTGCTCAATACCTGGTCAGGGTAGAAAAACACGGATTATTTCAGGCTGGTCAGAGAAGAAAAAGAGATTGTTTGCCAAAGAGACTTTAGAAACGGATGCAATGCTTGGCTCTGATCTCGGAGCTTTCCCGTATCCAAACAAAAAGGAGCACAGGCTGGCTGCCTGCCCACAGAGGAGGGAACCCAGAGCTGAAACACCCTGCGAAACATCAAAGCTTGAGACTTCTCCTGGGACCCTAGGAATGGCAGCTGCACAGGACTGGCCCGGCAGCACCGCACTGGGTTGTCCTTTTCATTTTGCTAAAAACCGTGGAAGAAAGCTCCTGCCAGCATTTCCCTGCCGTTTCATCAGCAGTCAGCCTTCTTCAGCATTTGTCATCAGTCGTTCCCTGTTCCCAAGGAACAGTATTGGCAAACACTGTACATTTATAATAATTAATAAAGTCACATTTTCCCAAGAAGCCAGTAATCAGAATTAGCCACTGCATGAGCAATCTCTCTCCTAAAGGAGTCGATCCGCTGTGAGCAGATGGTGTTTCTGATCATTCCTGACCGTTCCCTTCCAATGATCACACCGGCCACAAGGTGGAGTGGGACAAGGCACAAGGACTGACAGGGAGACACTGCACTGATGTGTCTTTTGTGTAAGGGGAACCACAGCCTGCCCTGCCATTCTTTGGGCTCCTTTAAAAACAAACAAACAAACCCGCAAAACGCAACAGGTCTGGGAAAGGACTTTTTTTTTGCACAGAAGCCTGAAAACCTGTGATTTGTATAGTTGGTTACACATTCACAAGAGGAAGAATCCACGCTTAGCTGTTCTTCCAGTGCTGGCTGTGAGGTTGGGCGTCACCACTGCATGTGGTGCCTGGAAGCTGTCCTGGACAGAATGACCATGAAATGTTGGAGCTCTCTGCACTTGGTGAAGTCAGGAGGGTCAGCAAAGCTGACCTGCTTAGAATGTTGGCTGGGAGAATCCCATGGGAGTCAGCCATGAAGGGCAGAGGGGCCCAGCAAAGCCAGACATTGTTCAAGGAGGAAATCCTAACGGCACAGGTGCCTGTGTGCCTTCAGATGGGCCAGCGGGGAAGAAGACTGGCCTGGAACAGGGAACAATTGTTGAGACTCCAGGAGAAAAAGAGAGTTTATGACCTTTGGAAGAAGGGTCAGGCAACCTGGGAAGAGTGCAAGGATGTGCACAGGGTATGCAGAGGGAAAAGCAGAAAGGCAGAAGTGCGGCAAGAACTTCATCTGGTCAGTGTTGTTATAGATAATAATAAATGTTTCTACGAATATAACAGCAAGAGGAGGACGAGGAGAATGTCTATCCTTAACTAGATGCAGCAGGGAGCATTATCAGGATGAGGAAAAGTCTGAGATTCTCAAACCCCTCTCTATTTCTGTCTTTAACAGACTGCTTATCCTCAGGGTACTGAGACCTTGAGCTGGAACACAGGGGTGGGAGCAAAGTAAATGCCCACGATTCAGGAGGAAAGAGCGAGCAAGCTGCTGCTCTAACCTGGGCTGCAGCACATCTGTGGGGCCGAATGGGACCCACCTGAGGGTGCTGAGAGAAATGGAGGTGGAAAAATCACTTGGATAGCAGGAGAAAACTGAGAGCACATCCGATATTCCAGGTGAGACTGTGCTCTGCCTGGTCACTGCCCAGCACAGCAGGTGCCCAAGGCCAGGGGGTTCAGGGCTGCCTCTGCTGGGCTGTCCCTGGAGGCATTCAAGACCAGGTGGGATGGGGCTCTGGGCAGCCCGGTCCGGTGTTAAATGTGGAGATTGGTGGCCCTGCCTGTGGTGGAGGGGTTGGAGCTTCGTGATACTTGAGATCTCTTCCAACCTGGGCCATTCTGTGATGGGCTCACACCAGAACTTGGGAAAGTGACTGCCACAGCACAACAGGGATCAGAGAGAAGTGCTGGCCTCAGGGACATCACCAGACCCCCCCCAGCGCCTTGCAGCAGCAGCACCGGTGTGTACTCACTCTTTAGCTTGGAGCGCACTTTGTTCGCTGTCTTTTTGATGTCTGACATGAGCTCTTCCAGCTCCTCCTTTGTTTCTGCAGAGAAAGAAAGAGCAAACATGGGTGTGCTGTGGACACTGCTCAGATCTGCTCACCCGTCCACAGTGTGTGGGGCAGGAGCAGGCAGCACTGCCCCTTCCTGCTGAAAGACAAACACACAGCTGGCAGCGCTGCTTCCCACAGCGGAGAGAAAACGACTGCTGTACATCAAAGCCCTTCTGCACATCAAGTGCCGCAGTGCAGGCTGACTTCCCTACAGCCCTGCCTGGCTGGGCAGCCTTCTTCAGGACACATCTCCACGGCGGACAGCCTGCTGCTCCTCAGCTTGCTCCCCCCCTGCTGAGCACTAGGACTCAGCCCAGCTGTGCCCTGGCTCCTCTTGCCACGTGGCCACAGCACCTCTGACACCATCCAATTAGCAGCCACTTTGTGCACACTCACTGCTTTTGGCAAAAAACATAGAGGCTGCAGCAGCACAAAGCCAGAGAACATCCCCAGTCCCATGTCCCATATCTCAGAAATGGCTCTGGGGAGCACAGTAGCAGGGCTGTGTAACGCAGCCCTCACACTGCAGCGTGCAGGGGCACAGGAGGTGCAAACAAAAACAGGCAAGCAAGTTCCTTCCTCCTTGTATTCCTTCACATCCCTATGTGCTCACATGCAGACCCAGAGCACAGTACCAGCAGCTGCAGGCTCCTGCTGGGAGCAGAGCCCTGCTGAGCGCCCGGAGCCCCGCAGTGAGTCCCCGCCGTCACCAACGCCTTCTCCCAAGGATTGCAAAAGCTTTCTAGCAGTGATCCTCCTGGGCTGCCAGGGGTATTGACTTGGCTACAGAGAGAAGGAAACCAAAGTGTACGACACACTTCAGAGCAGTAAATCAGCTGCGAGCCCTGATTCACAGGCAAGGTTTGGCACATGGCTATCTATCCTCTTTCCCACATGCAAGCAACAAAGTTAGGCAGTAAGGCTCCAAGCTCACCATTAACAACAGTGCCATCATTAGAACATCTCTAGATACCTTGCAGGACTTCTCCCTGCACTGCAGCACCTCCACACCACCACCAGTGCTTGGCAAACCCAATCAGAGCGGCGCCCCTCCATCTGCATTCCCAGGAACCAAGGTGCCGGTGGCAGAGGCCAGGCCTGCCGCCCATCAGAGCATCAGCACGGCACGGGGAGCTCAGATGGCTCAATGGCAGCCAGCTCTGGCTTCTATGCTCAGCTGCACAACACAGCAATCCACATCCCAATACAGCACAAACCACCCGCCATTCCAATGCGACTTCTCAGCAATGCTGCCATCCTAACACTCCTTCTTGATTTTGATGAGATCAGGACTTACTTCACTGAATAGAACTCTGTTGAATAGTCTCTAGGCACATTAACTGAGTCATTTCGATGGCTGTTGTAGCTGCAATGCTGTATGCTTCCAGCTGGCAGTCACAGGCAGAATTAGAAAACCATGATGATGTGCTGGGGGAAGGTCACATCCTACTGACACTTGTACACACTTCAACTCAGTGCTAGGAGCTTCGGAGGGGCTGGGAAGACGAGGAAAGGAGCATCTGCGAGTACCTTCAGCCAGGCTGCCATGAACATGAGGAGAGCTGGGAGCTGTGTCTGTTCACATGGAAGCAGGAAAGCAAAGAGGACTCCACGGCCACATCCGGCTGCACAGTGGGAATGGGGAGAGAGCAGGAGGGAGATCCTGCTGGGAGGTGCGGAGGAGCATCACAAGCAGAGACGGAGCAAAGTGGGACGTGGGTCATCCCAACTGCAGGTGGGAAAAACTGCCATTGCGAAGGTGATGATAGATGCTGAAAGGATAGGGAACAGATGCCCAACCTTTTGGCTTCCTGGGCTGCAAATAGTGAAGAGGAACCCGTATATGCAGGATGCTCCAAAAGTAATGCCTCCTATTTATTTCCATGGAAACTACAACTGATAAAATGAGCGCAATAACAATATTTGATAGAGAAAATTCTCAGCTACAAAACACTGTTTTTCAACAGTCACCACCATTAGCTATGTATTTTCACCAGCAAGGAGCAAGAGCCTGCAAGCTGTGCTTGCACAAAGCTGCACCAGTGGAGCTGACCCACTGCTAATATGCACCACCCATCCTTCATTATGCTCACATGCGCTGGTTGGTCTCCATCAGCATGCAACGGGCATCAATGAATGTCACTGGAGACATTCATTCTGCATGGAGAAGTTCAATGACACACTTTGCTCCATCCACCCTTCTGTGTCAGACACCGTTCTGTCAGACTGCCCGTCTGCTGCCAGCTGTCACACAGCAGCAGCACAAAATGGGGCACTGGTGAGAAGGTTCAACCCCTACTGCTGTGCCGCCAACATCTGACATTGTGGGCTGACACCATAAAATGGGAGGCATTACTTTCGAAGCAGCCTTCATAAAAGATATAGTTAATGTATACAAGTAACAAGACTTATTTTAACTTTAATGTTTCTCAAAACATTAAAAAACAGTAGGGCAACAAGACCCATAAAACCAGGGTCTGACAGCAAGCCAGGCACTGATCTGCAGAGGGCATCCGCCTCCTGCCACCCAGCCCAGGCTGGCAATGGGAGCTCCAGCAATGCATGGCTCCCTGGCAGCAGGAAAATATATTCCCTCCTATTCCGCTTCCTTGCTGATTCCTGAGCTCCTGGAAGTACCCCCTATTTGACAGGGGAGGGGATGAAACAGCCCACTGAACACTCCCATGTGGGCTGCTGCTACAGCCTGGCCTGGGCGCTGACACTCAACATCAGCAGGCAGCAGACTTCCCATCCCACTGTGACAGGCAACTGCCATCATGTCATCACTGCCACGATTCGATGTCAGCGCAAAACGTCCCAACGCCTCTACATGGGAGCAGAAGAGAGATGATGTGCGCAGGAAAGCTCTTACAGATCCCCTGGGGCTGAAGGTATCACCCTGACCACCGCCCGTCCTGTCCTGCAGTGAGAGCTCTGGATGAAGTGCAGCTGGTGCTGGGCAGAGCCTGCAGCCTGAGCGCCGTCCATCAGCTCCGCCAGCAGCTGTTGCCTGCCTGCTGGTTACATCCCAGCAGCACCCAACAATGGGGCTGAACTTTGCATGCAAGAAGCAATTTGATTTTATGACCAACCTGTGCAAAAGGTGGAGGAGACAGACAGACAGCCCGGTGCCTTGGTGCCTTTCCTCCTTCTGGGAGGAAGTGGCGGGATTTGATTTTCTTTCCAATTACTCAAAGGCAAAAGCAATAATTACACATCCCGAGTTACAGTGCAAACCAGAGAGCTTAGTTCTGCTTTCCTAGCGGTGAGACCCTCCTAAAGCACGGCTTAAAGCAGCCAAGCTGTGGGCAGCTGGCATCCACTCATCCCAGCCCACGCAGGAGCCGCCTCCCCGCGGGGCACCCAACGAAAACTGCAAGATTTGGGACAACCAACAGCTCTGACTGGCTGCTCCCATGGGCTGTGAACATGACATCCCACGAGCCCAAGTCCCCCCAGTGGGAGGCTGCGAGCTCCTCCCTGCCTGCAGGGCACTCAGCACCGTGTGGAGCTGATCAGACCCACTTACCAACGCCTTGCGGAACTGCACGAATTGTATTATCCTCCCTTAATTCTCTGTTGATCAAATTCCACTTCAAGGAGTCCATTATTCTGCCCAGAAGCAATGTCAAGCTAATCAGTCAATAAGAACTCAGCTCCTTCCCCTTCTTTTTCCAAAAGTGGATGCTGTGCCACCTTTTGAGCTCCCAAAGCCTCTCAGGTATTTGGAATCTTAGTGGAAATCAACACTAAGGGCAGACAAACCGCCTTACTCAGTTCTTCGCAAGCTTCCCTATTGATGCCTCCAGGTAGACTGGATCCAGTATGGTCTATTTTGGGGGTCTGCTGCTTAAGAACCATCCAAACTCTTCTTGCAATGCAAGAATTCAATCATCATAAAGTAAATCACTTTTCCCAAGCACTCAAAAAAGGCATTTCCTTTACATTTCCATCCCTTCTGCATTGTTCTACCATTGTCATTGATTAATGTGCTGGAACCGCTGATCGTTATCTGCTCCCGCTGCAGGGCACTTCAGGCAGGCCTGCCATCCTTCAGGCTGCTTCACTGCTCTGTGCCCCTGCAGCACCAGGAGAATGCGTTCTCCTCCTCCTCAGCCAGGCAGGGATAAGCAGAGACAGCGGTAAGAAAATCTCCTCAAGTAGGAGTTATTGAAAAGCAGTAAGAAAAGAATGTACGGAGGACATGCAGCATGCTTCAAATTTACTCCCTGTGTGCGTGATGTAAATCATCGAGTCGTGACCACCTGCACTGAACCCACGGCGTTTCATCCTGCTGGTGGCTCCCCATGAGAAAGAGCAAATGCCACCTATCACTGGAAAAACCTTCTCCTGGTGCTGGTGGGAAAAAACTACTTGAGCAAGTTTGAGCACCCGGAGCTTCAGCTGCAGGAGAGCTCAAGAGCCTGTGACTCTCTTATAGAAGCAGATATGAAATGCAGTACCAAAAGGCACCTGCTGCAGAGCTCAGACATCTCTTCTGACCAATCCAGCCATTATTCTCAGAAAAAAAGTGGCCTGCTTTGTATTTCTGAACACTCGCCCACAGCCCTGGCACAGACAAGGGGTCATGGCCACTCAGCAGGGCTGCAGATCCTCTGCCACTGCTCCCCCCATTCTGAACAGCAGCTGCACAGACACACGGTGCCCATCTGACTGCTGCCACTTGCACAAGACCTGCTGGTGCCATACCTGGCCAGACCCAGCAGCCGCTGCGACCTGCTGCTCTGCTGGGTCTCACAGCACACAGCTTTGAGCACGCTACGGCCAGACAAGTCCAGGGAGCTGTGCCCCATCCCCCTCCCACGGGCACGAGGCTGGGGACATGACATGGCTCTGGCAGCACTGGACACATGGGAACACGGGCTGCACTGCGCAGTGGTATGCTTCAAGAGGCAGCAGCACACGAGCAACAATCATAACGCATTTAATCAGCGGAGAGAAACAGGCACTACTTGTCAGGATACTCCAGG